CCTCAAAGCTCCAAACCTGAGACTAGGAAATTCCAGTCCAGAAAAACTGTGCACAGAAGCAATCAGGATTATTCTGAAAAGGTTAGAGCAAGCTGTCTTTCTCAACAGTATCTTGGGTAGTCTTCCTATGTTAAGTCAGTACCTATCCTCATCTCTAAATCTTTTAGAATATGTCTGGTTTAATCTTAAAAATTAGTGACCCCTTGAAGATGGAGAATACCAGAAGATTAAAACATGGGGAGAAAATTTGAACTCTTTTTTTTCCCATAAGTGCATGACTGAGGGGAATGCTATCCACAACTTTCAAAACTAAACAGTACTCAGCTCTCATTAATAATCATGCGTATAGTCTTATTCTTTTTTAGAAGCTCCAAGTACTTGCCAAGAGACTGTTTAGTACATTCTGGGAAGAATATGAAAATTGTCAATAAATGTATTATCATGATTTTTACAGCTATTAAATTTGAATAATGGACACGTTTTAACCTTATGAATAGTTTGACATAGTTGTTTTGACACTTAAATGTTCTATGTTCATCATCACACATATTTTAAGCAGAATTATATTAACACTGATGAATTGTCATCAAAAGAGTATTTCTTGGTTTAAATAGTATCAGGCTAATTTAATTTCTTTTTAAAATATTTAGTTTATTATTATTATTTAATTTGCTATAGGGCACATGTGCTTACCAAAGAGAGACAGACAGAGAGCAAGAGCAAGAGAGAGAAAGAAAGTGAGAAAGCAAGCCACCAGGTCCAGGATTTGAACCATGGTTGGCCTTGTGGGCATCCAGAGCTTTAACCACCATGCCATTTGCTGGCCCCTAGGCTAATTTAATTTTTTTTTCCATCAGAGATAAGCATTTTATGATCATGTGACTTTTGTTTTACTAAAATGATTTTCATGGAGGGCTCAACTTTTGTTCACCTATAAATATGTCAAGAAAGATTTTATGAATTGATTGAAGTTTTTTCCATAACAAATTGTCTGATTAGAGTTCTGCCGTATAAACTTTCTCTTTAAAATTTTGCCAGAAGACATGTATGCTCACCAGAGAGTGATGGTGGTAGGTGTGAGGGAGAGAAAGCACCTCCTAGTGGGACGTGGTTACACTGCAATGCCTTCTTCATTTCTCCACCCTGTGGGGATTTGGGGCACATACACATGTACCCCACATGTTTTTTAAGCTGTCAGGCCTGGGATTCCTACTGCATGGTTGGCTATGTGGGAACCAGCTCCCTTCACTAGTAGCCCCTGGGGCCAGCCCACTTTCTTCAGTGGTTAATTATTTCCCTAAACTCAACTTCCTTGAATAATGGTTTAGAAAAGTCCTACAGTGTGATTTGCCCTAACTTCTAACCCCGTAGAGATGGTTTTACTCATTTGGGAGTGGAGTAAGACTTACAGAAATATATAACACCTAGAAAGAAAGAAAACCCCTCTGCTCCAAAAAAGTATTTCTGTCCATTTACAGTTTATACAGACTTTCTTTTTTTTAAAAAAAATATGCATCCTCTTATTTAATCCTCAAGGACTCTGTAAGGTAGTATCATTCTAATTTTACTGATAAGAAAATGGAAGCTCAGAGACTAAGTGACTTGTCCAAAGTATCTAGGTATGTGCACTAGTGTTCTTAAGGAATGTCTTAAATCAACTACTTTAAAATAAAAGACATAGGGTCATCATGTGGCATGGAAGTTAAGGCAGCTGTATCCCACATGACCAACTGCGTGGCTTGAGTCCCAGACCAAGTAGCTTGAAAATGACGCTGGATGTGTGTGCATGTGTTCCCCAAATCCCAAGAGAAGAATGGAAGAAAAGGGATTGTGGCATGGCCATCTCCTCTCTTCGGTTATTTCTCACTTTCCCTCTATCTCTCTTTGTCTATCTCTGGTAAGTCATGTGTCCTATAGCAAAACTTTAAAAAAAAAAAAGACAAATATTTGTTAAATTATTGAACAGATTTAGTTGAAAGTGTCCATATTAAAGGAATGACTAGGAGTGGCAAGGGTGATGGTGGTTTATCTTGGATGTGATAATTCTAAATATGAGAGGACTAAGAGGAAAACATTGCATCGTCAGGCTGTTTTGCTCATTCTGAGAGTTGCACTGAAAGTCATCTTGTCTCCTCATAGTCTTGTCTCCATCACTAGTGACTACCGCTTTTAAGGACTCTTGAAGCAGCTCTGATTGTCAAATTTTCCTTTTGTTGTAATTTATTGGGATTTATTATATGTATTTCCAATTATTTGGAGGTTGTAGAGTTATCCCGGAACCCCAGAGTTGACCTGAAGTCCCTGAAGAGACTGTTCACAATCAGATATACTCAGTTACCTCTTTCACTTTTTCAGAGAGATGAGAATTACCAAGCAAAGATATCTCCAGCTTCACCTCAAGGAGAACTCAAAAAGAGATCAGCTTTTGAAGATCTCACAAATGTGAGTATGGTAGTACAGTCCTGTGCTATGGGATTGCATAAGGGACAGTCTCTTCCTTTAGGGACTTTTCCAGTTTACCTGACCCTCTCTAGAATGTTGAGAGAAGATTTTCTTTTAAATCTTTCTTTTATGAAGAAAAGAGAGATACAGACAGACACAGGTACCCTTTACAGGGTCTCACCATGCTGTAATTCTCCTTCTAAGACAGCCAGGATTGCAAGTGTATATGGGCACGCCTGGTATGTTTATGTTGACTTTGGTTCTGAACCTGGCTCTCCCATGTGGCTCCAATATTTTGCAACTGCACTCTACCGCCTCTACCACTGTGGCTTGACTGAAAGCAGATTGTATTTTGAATCAAAAATCCAATTTCAGGAACTGCAGCAGATCTTTTCTTGGCACATATCATCTGGGTCAGTTGGTGGAGTTCTCTGGGAGCAGCAGACACAGTAATTTTCAGATATGAAATTGTAGATAACTATGAGAACTATGGGAAATTGCATTTAGATTAAGTCCAGTGTAGGCTCAGCTGACTGCCCAGGCTGCCTGTACTTACTTGGAGGTAAGTACTTTGGTAGAAAATCATTGTAGGCTAGGACAGTGTTTATCCATTTTGAGCACTATGGGAATTTTGAGAAGCACACAATGCTTTTTTGTTGGGTAGGACCGACTTCAGTCAGCATCCCTGGCATCTAGGTATTAAATTCCAGCAGTAGTTAAGATACAGTAATAATTAAAAATGCCTCCTGATGTACAAAACTATTGAGAACCACAGTTTTGTGATCTGGTCTTCAACTAGGAAGATGTAGAAATTATTGAGCTCACTTCCAAGTCACCTCCCTTCTGATATTATTTTGGTACCAGCGAAAGATCAGAATTAGCAGAATGCTGCTAATTGAATATAGAATCAGGGCAAATGTAATCTTTAGTCTTAGTAAGAACTGAAGCCTACTGACTACTTATCGTGTGCCAGAAACTATTCCAAGCATTCCTCCCCCACTCCACACACACACCAGTATCAACTCACTTAATCTTCATATAACCGTAAGAGGTAGATATTGTAATCAAATCTACTTTATAAATGAAGACTTGGTATTTGTTTTGAATTCTTTTAATCTAGGCTGTAGAGAAGGCTGGTGAACAATTTTACTCTTGATAATAGAGTGTATTTCTGTGACTATCAGAATACTTGAATCTTCTAGAAAATATTTTTCATCCTTGAGTGCTCTCTTCTTTGGATGCCCACTCTTTAGATGCTGCATGACCACTTTTTTGCTAATTCAGTCTTTTCCCCACGCAGGGTCAACATACATCTGTGCACGCGCGCGCACACACACACACACACACACACACACACACACATGTTACAGCTTTATGAAAATTTTCAAATTTAGTCATGATTGGTAGAAAGAATGCCCTCCCATACTTCTACTTTTGTAAAATTAGATACGTGTCTTGACTTATTTAATCATGAGTATAGAAACTTGGCTGAAATAAGGACCAGCAGTTAGCATAATGGCTATGTTGCTGGACTCCAGTAAAGGAACCAATCTATGTGATGTCTATAATTGCCTCATTGGTGATGTTAATTTTTGTCACCCGGTTAAGATGTCTATTTTCTCTATAGTTACTGGTTTGTTTTTATTTACTTTTTAAAAAATGTCTTGCAATTTATAAACATTCTGTAGGATATACTCTATACTCTTAAGAGCCTACAAAAATAAACAAAAAACAAAAAAAAAAAACAAAAAAAACCCCTGCACTTCCTCAAAATGTCCCCTAGATTTAGCATCCATTGATGATTTTTGCCTAAGTTAATCTTTATTATGATTTTCTAACTCTAGCAATCACTCCACATTTACTAGTCTTCCCTTTTGCCTTCTAATACAAGCATGAACTTTCCCTTCTCCCCTGTTTTTATTGGTATGAATTCATGAATTTCATATTTTTTAATGGCTTATTCTTTATTTTAGTACTCAAATTGCCCCAGATTTGGGCCAATTTCTTAGTGCAGTGGTTAAGAACTGTGCATGGGGAGCCAGATCCTTATGGCTGACCACAATTTGAAGGTGGCTTGAAAAACACTCTGAATACATGTATGTATGTCCCCCATATCCTGATGGGATGGAGAAATGGAGAAGAGAGGATTGTGATATGACTAGGCCCCACTGGGGGTTTCTTTCTCATGTGTGTGTGCACACACATGCCCTCTGGTAAGATTAAAAAAAGTTCCCCCTGATTTTTACATAGGAGTTCCTTGGATCTGATTACTGTGTCATTGTAATATATTCTCTTGATTTTCTTGAGCATATTTTTTTAGCATTAAAAAGTATTACAGGCTCATTTTATACCTTATAACTGTCCCAACCTGGGGTTAACCATTTCTCCAGAGAGTTCTGATTCCTTTTAGTGGGGGATGGTATTAGATATCAAAATATCAGTGATAAGTATGGTACTGAGGTGTCTGTTTTTTCTGCCTTTTGAGCAGACAGGACTAGGAAATAATCTTTGTGTGTATATATGCACATACATAAATCTGTACACAGATTTATGTATGTGTATACAGGCACACACACACTCACACGTGTATACATATACCGTTTTCCCATAGCTCCAATTTCAGAACACAAAATTCTTGTATTTCCCAATTGATCTTTGTATGCTCCTTCATTTATAATGAAAACTCTAATGCTCAATACATTTACTTTATATTGTAATACATCTTCAAAATTACTTCATCCAAGGCTAGCCCTGTAGTGCAGTGGTTAAGTGCTATGCATTGGGAGCCAGATCCCACATGGCTGACTGATTTGATCCTGGCCACCTAGAATCCAGATTGAATACTTGGCATGTGGGCAGGCATACCCCAAATCCTGACAGGATGGAGAAATGGATGAAAAAGGATTATGGCATGGCCATGCTCCATTGGAGGGTGCTTTTTCTCTCTCTGTTTTCCCCCTTCTCAAGTGTATGTGTCCTCTGTCAGTTACAGTTCTTTTTAAAAAAATTACTTCATACCACTCTAATGCACAAACCTACTGAAAAGATGGGTTTGTAATATCTACCCCCTGCAAATCCATCCTCACTGAGGATGTATATTAAGGATATGTAGTCAAATACTGTGTTTATAAGTTACTTGAATTAGCTGTCTTTTCTTTGGTTTTCTTTTTCCCTTTACCGTGGCTATGGTATTTATTTGAGATATATTGGGTTGTGAGAAAAGTCATGATGCATTTTTACATAGAAAAACAGAAAAGTATGCCTTGACTTTTCTTGCAACCCAGTAATTAGGTTCATATGTTTCGTTCTTTTTTTTTTTCTTGTTTTTTTTTTTTTTTGGTTTGTTTGTTTTTGTTTGTTTGTTTGTTTTTTGCATAGACCACATGTGCTCACTGGAGGAGAGAATGGAGAGAAGTGAGGGGTAGGGAGAGAGAAAGTGAGAAGAGAAAGAAAGCAACAAAGCCACTTCTTAGGGGGATGACCACACCACAATTTCTTCTCCACTCTTCTCTCAGGGTTTTGGGCTTGCACATACATGTGCCCATTGTGTTTTTCAACCTGCTGGGTTTAGGACTTGAACAGTTCAGTCCTCCAGGTGGGGTCCAATACCTTAACCATCACACTACCTGCTGGCCCCCATTTGTTTCATTTTAAAGGCATAATTTTAAAATTTATTTTTTACTGACATTATTCACAGTCCCATGATCTCTCTTAATGTTTAATAGAGTTAGTCTGGATTAGAGTCTGTGGTAGAATTCCTCAGAACCTCACATTAAAATCACTCAGTGAGATGGGATAGTTGTTTTGTAGGTAGTATTAGAGATAGAGTTCTATCCTAAAGACCTAGTGATCTTTGCATACCCAGAAAAAGCCACTCATATTGCCTTTTGTCTCCTCAGAACATTTTGTAAGATCAAAGTAGAAGATATTAATAAAGCATCTTTTCAGTTATTTGCCAACCAGTATGCCTAGCATAGAGATCAGACCTTGGAAGTACTTTGGGGTTTTATTTAGCCAGTATGCACCAGTACTGTTGGACCAACTGTTTTCTGCTAGCTTCCACTGTGATTGGTTGGCCCAGTGCCATACTGCTTGTGAAATGTTTGGGTACTCACTCCTGGGAACACCCAAATAAGATGTCCAGGATGGAGACATGGATCAGGACTTTCCTGTAAGAGTCGCCTATTGGTAATTATTTGTGGTTCTCATTTCTCTACCTCCTTTTCCCCCTTGTATTTGCAGGCATCTCAAAGTCAGCCTACTCAGCCCAAGAAAGAAGCCAGTAAGGAATTTATAAAAGATACTTCCAAGAACATAAACAAGGATACACTTGTTTTCCAGTTGGTCAAAAATAATAAAACAAATGTAAAAACGTGAGTAAGACGGGACTTGGATGACGTCGTTTTAGATTGGATATGAGAGTGCGTGACATCAGTTTGACTGTTTTATTCCTATTCAGAACATGTTTAGTGAGGTACATTAATCTTGTGGTCACTGAGGAGTTACAGCCCTTTTCTCTCTTTTTCCATGGTGTGTGTACATATTAAAATGAAGAAAGCGTCAAAAGACCTTGTGGTCATCTTTTCTCTCTTTCAGTAAATCCTTCCATTTGATCTAGTTGGTATATGGTTGGAAATGTAGAGGCAACTTAACTTTTCAGGGACTTTGAGCAGCTGTCTGATAGCTTTCTAGTCTACTTATCCCATTAGAAGCATTAGAGGAAGTTTGCCTCTTATTTATTACTGGAGAAAAATTACATTCTTCCTGGGGAGTCGCCTATTGGTAATTATTTGTGGTTCTCATTTCTCTACCTCCTTTTCCCCCTTGTATTTGCAGGCATCTCAAAGTCAGCCTACTCAGCCCAAGAAAGAAGCCAGTAAGGAATTTATAAAAGATACTTCCAAGAACATAAACAAGGATACACTTGTTTTCCAGTTGGTCAAAAATAATAAAACAAATGTAAAAACGTGAGTAAGACGGGACTTGGATGACGTTGTTTTAGATTGGATATGAGAGTGCGTGACATCAGTTTGACTGTTTTATTCCTATTCAGAACCTGTTTAGTGAGGTACATTAATCTTGTGGTCACTGAGGAGTTACAGCCCTTTTCTCTCTTTTTCCATGGTGTGTGTACATATTAAAATGAAGAAAGCGTCAAAAGACCTTGTGGTCATCTTTTCTCTCTTTCAGTAAATCCTTCCATTTGATCTAGTTGGTATATGGTTGGAAATGTAGAGGCAACTTAACTTTTCAGGGACTTTGAGCAGCTGTCTGATAGCTTTCTAGTCTACTTATCCCATTAGAAGCATTAGAGGAAGTTTGCCTCTTATTTATTACTGGAGAAAAATTACATTCTTCCTGGGTCAAAAACATCTTCCTCCTATTACAAGAAACTGGTCATGGGTTCAGTAAGTAGAGATGGGCATTCCCATTCAGGATCTGAAAAATAATTTACCCCAGGAAAACTTATTGGAAGAGGACTTAAAAGGTGGAGTGAGGCTCAGCCACAGTGGTGCATGGGTAGTGCCAACACTTGGGAGGCTAGCCACATGGGGAGGCCCTGATTGGGTTTCGGAGCCATCCTGAGCACTCTAGTCACCATCGTGAATGCCTGCAATCCTAGCTAATTGGGGGGCTAGGGTAGGAGGATCATGATTGTGAGACTGTCAGAAATACTTCCCCCACCACTCTCTTGTTTATGTGCTTTCTCTCTCTCTCTCACTCACTCACTAAAACAAACAAACAAAAAAGGTAGAGTAAGGCCTTTCTGTAGTTGCTTCTTATTCTAGCAGGAATTACTTTTCAGGGACTGACTATTCTGCATTTGAATAGATTTGAGAGATGGATATAGCAGTGCTAAGCAGAGGTTCCAAAGTATATGGTAAAATATTTGGGTAACTTGAGAATATTAACATGCAGGGTTCACAGGACATTTCACTGATTATCCAGTAAAAATAAATAAAATCAGAAGATTAGCATTCAGTCCTACTTAGTTTCCTTCTGAAATGAAGTTTCTAGGCTTTGCATGTATATTTGATTTAAATTCTCTGTATTCTTTTGAATTTTGTCATTCTGACTTAAACTCTCACAAATACCATAATCATTCTTTCTTTCATTCCATTTCAGTGGAATTAACCCTCATAATAGTAACAGAATGGTTATCATTTATTGAGAGCTCACTGTAATCACACATCATTCTAAGTCTTTTTAAAAAAAAAAAAATTGCCAGAGGGTGCTGCACTCACCAGATAGAGACTTAGAAACAGAGAAGGAAAGCAAGAAAACAGCCCCCAGGGAGATAATCAATTCTCCATTTCTTCCTTCTTTTTGGATTTGGCATGAATGCATACATGCCTGGCATGTTTTTCAAGCCTCTGGTTCAGGACTTGAACTGCACAGTTGACCATGTAGAATCTAGCCATCTTAATCACCAGGCCATGGGCTAGCCCAGTCTTTTTTTTTTTGTTTTCGTTTTTTTTTGTTTGTTTGTTTTTTGTTTTGTTTTTGTTTTTGTTTTTTTGATACATAATTTATATAACATACAATTCACCCATTTAAAGTGTACAGTGACTTTTAGTATATTCACACTTATGCAGTCATCACAATCAATTTTAGAACATTTTCATTACACCCAAAAGAAACACTGTATCTTTAGCTATTAGTTCCCAACTACTACCTATCCTCCCCAGGTCTAGGCAACCACTAATCTACTTTCTGACTCTACATAGATTTTTCTGTTCTGGACATTTTATGTAAATGGAATTATGCAGTTGTGGTTTTTGGTGTTTGGCTTCTTCCACTTAGCATAATGTTTTCAAAGTACATCTAGTCATAGCAGATATTAGTACTTCATTTCTTTTTATTATATCCATTGTATGGATATGCCATGTATTGTTTATTCACTAGTATGGGCATTTGGATTGTTTCTATCTTTTGGTTATTTTGAATAGTGCTGCTATAAACATTTATATACAGGTTTTTGTTTAAACACCTGTTTTCAGTCCTTTTGCATATGATAATTTAATCTGAATATATTGAGTCACTGCAGAGCTGTACTCCACAGTGGCTGCAGTGTTTTACATTACCACCAGCAGTGTATGAAGGCTTTCAATTTTTCACATTTTTGACCAGCCCTTGTTATTTCTTTTTAAAATTATGCCCATTAAAAAAAATTTTTCCTCCTAGTGGATGTGAAGTAGTGGTTTAGATTGGCATTTCTCTGATGACCAATAATGTTGAGCATCTTTCATGTGCTTATTGGCTATTTGTATATCTTTTTTGGAGGACTTTCTCTTTGGATTCTTTGCCCATTTAAAAAATTCAGTTGTTGGTCTTTTTATCATTGAGTTGTAAGAATTTTTTATATTACATATCATAGAAACAATTCCCTAATCAGATATGAGTTGCAAATGTTTTTATCCATTCTGTGGGTTGTCTTTGCACTTTTTTGATGATGTCCTTTTAAGCACAAAAATTTGTACTTTTGATGAAGTCCAGTTTATTTTTTCTTTTATTGCTTATGCTTTTGATCACATATGCAAGAAAGTATTGCCAAATCTGAGGTTATAAAGATTTATACCTATTTTCTTTTGAGAATTTTGTGTTTATCCTTCCATGAGGAAGCAAATAAGAGAGTGAGATAGTACCCCCAACAGAGTCCCAACATGTGATCCATTACCAGACTTTAGCCAGCCTTGGATCATGTGCCTGTTTTACTCAGGGAGTTCTCCAGACTTGAATTGGGTAGCTTTCTATGTGAGATTGCTTTGCAGAGCATTTTTCTGCCATGTTACAATTTGACCCATTTTTCTCACAGTATTAAGATATTAGCTCTTAACTTCAGTTTTTGAACTATTTGGGATTAATTTATGTTGTTAGTGTGTGTTAGGGGTCTAATGTCACTGTTTTGTATGTGAATGTCATTTTCCCAGTGCTATTTGTTGAGAAGAGTGATCTTTCTCCACTTAATTGTTTTAGCACCCTTGTTGAAAATCAATTGACTGTGTAAGTTTATTTCTAGACTCTCAATTTTATTCCATTCATGTGTATGTTCATTATTATCATTATACCAATACCACACTGTCTTGATTATTATAGCTGTATAGTGTACTTTGAAATTGGGAAGTGTGATTTTTGCTCTTTTTTAAGATTGCTTCGGCTGGGGATGGCAGTGATGTGGTAGATAAAGGCTCTGGATTCCCACATGGCTGACCGCAGTTTGAGTACTGGGCCTGGCAGCTTGCCTTCTCACTTTCTTTTTTTCTCTCTCTCTGTTTCTCTCTGGTCAAATTAAAGAATAATAATAATAAATGGAATTAAATAAAAAATTCTTAAATAAAAAATGATTGCTTTGGCTATTATGGGTTCCTTGCAGTTCCATATAAATTTTAAAGTCAGCTTGTCAAATGCTACAAACAATATTCAGCCTTAACCCCATGAACATGGGATATGTTTGCATCTATTTAGATCCTTAATTTATTTTCTTCCTGTATCTACCCCTGTCCTAGCCTCAGATAGCCATTAATTTGTTTTCTGTTATGGATGTGCCTATTCTGGATGTTTCATATAAATTGAATTATATGATATTTGGTCTTTATTTTTTAAATTTCTTTATTCCTCCATGAGAGTGAGAGAGGGGAAAGAGGGAGCTAAAGAGAGAAAGGAGACAGGGAGGAAGGGAGGAAGAGAGACAGAGACAGATAGATAGATACTTGCACCCTCAACAGGGTCTTCATACCTCATTCCTCACCTTAGGTGTACAGTCAGCCAGGATCATGGGTATAGCTTTGGACATGCCAAACATGTTGACGAAGCCCCAGTGTGTGAACCTAGAGCCTTCCCAAATGGCTTCCAGCATTATGTAGTAGTGCTCCTACTGCCTGTGCCACCATGGCTAGGCCTATATCTGATCTTTTTGGGACACTTAGTCATGTTTAGACTGATGACTATATGAAAGTATTTAAAAAGTTTGTGGGAAAAATCGATTTAAAGTACAAGTTTATTTTAGTATTAAACAATTTTGAAATCCATGCATGGCTTTTTCTTAATATACATTTCCATGAACTTCATCAAGACCCTCTTGCTTTTGCCTTTAATTCACTCTCTGGTCACGCTAGGTTAGTCATTCGAATTGAACACAAAGTCCTATTAAAACAAAGCTTTGTGGGACCAGCAGTTAGCATAATGGCTATGTTGCTGGACTCCCACGTAGTCGACTGCGGTTCGAGTCCCGGACCTGGCGGCTTATACTCATGCTGGGCGCATGTGCGTGCATTCCCAAGATCCCGAGAGGAGAATGGAGGAGAAGGGATTGCATTGTGGCCATCCTCCCTGGGGGGTGATTTCTCGCTTTCTCTCTCTCTGTCTCTCTCTGTATTTCTGGTGAGCAAACGTGCCTTATAGCAACCAGACTTTAGCCAGCCTTGGATCATGTGCCTGTTTTACTCAGGGAGTTCTCCAGACTTGAATTGGGTAGCTTTCTATGTGAGATTGCTTTGCAGAGCATTTTTCTGCCATGTTACAATTTGACCCATTTTTCTCACAGTATTAAGATATTAGCTCTTAACTTCAGTTTTTGAACTATTTGGGATTAATTTATGTTGTTAGTGTGTGTTAGGGGTCTAATGTCACTGTTTTGTATGTGAATGTCATTTTCCCAGTGCTATTTGTTGAGAAGAGTGATCTTTCTCCACTTAATTGTTTTAGCACCCTTGTTGAAAATCAATTGACTGTGTAAGTTTATTTCTAGACTCTCAATTTTATTCCATTCATGTGTATGTTCATTATTATCATTATACCAATACCACACTGTCTTGATTATTATAGCTGTATAGTGTACTTTGAAATTGGGAAGTGTGATTTTTGCTCTTTTTTAAGATTGCTTCGGCTGGGGATGGCAGTGATGTGGTAGATAAAGGCTCTGGATTCCCACATGGCTGACCGCAGTTTGAGTACTGGGCCTGGCAGCTTGCCTTCTCACTTTCTTTTTTTCTCTCTCTCTGTTTCTCTCTGGTCAAATTAAAGAATAATAATAATAAATGGAATTAAATAAAAAATTCTTAAATAAAAAATGATTGCTTTGGCTATTATGGGTTCCTTGCAGTTCCATATAAATTTTAAAGTCAGCTTGTCAAATGCTACAAATAAACTAGCTGAAATTCTTAGTGAAATTGCCTTGAATCTATAAATCAGCTTGGGCAGTATTGTCTTCTTAACAATATTCAGCCTTAAACCCATGAACATGGGATATGTTTGCATCTATTTAGATCCTTAATTTATTTTCTTCCTGTATCTACCCCTGTCCTAGCCTCAGATAGCCATTAATTTGTTTTCTGTTATGGATGTGCCTATTCTGGATGTTTCATATAAATTGAATTATATGATATTTGGTCTTTATTTTTTAAATTTCTTTTTTCCTCCATGAGAGTGAGAGAGGGGAAAGAGGGAGCTAAAGAGAGAAAGGAGACAGGGAGGAAGGGAGGAAGAGAGACAGAGACAGATAGATAGATACTTGCACCCTCAACAGGGTCTTCATACCTCATTCCTCACCTTAGGTGTACAGTCAGCCAGGATCATGGGTATAGCTTTGGACATGCCAAACATGTTGACGAAGCCCCAGTGTGTGAACCTAGAGCCTTCCCAAATGGCTTCCAGCATTATGTAGTAGTGCTCCTACTGCCTGTGCCACCATGGCTAGGCCTATATCTGATCTTTTTGGGACACTTAGTCATGTTTATAATGATGACTATATGAAAGTATTTAAAAAGTTTGTGGGAAAAATCGATTTAAAGTACAAGTTTATTTTAGTATTAAACAATTTTGAAATCCATGCATGGCTTTTTCTTAATATACATTTCCATGAACTTCATCAAGACCCTCTTGCTTTTGCCTTTAATTCACTCTCTGGTCACGCTAGGTTAGTCATTCGAATTGAACACAAAGTCCTATTAAAACAAAGCTTTGTGGGACCAGCAGTTAGCATAATGGCTATGTTGCTGGACTCCCACGTAGTCGACTGCGGTTCGAGTCCCGGACCTGGCGGCTTATACTCATGCTGGGCGCATGTGCGTGCATTCCCAAGATCCCGAGAGGAGAATGGAGGAGAAGGGATTGCATTGTGGCCATCCTCCCTGGGGGGTGATTTCTCGCTTTCTCTCTCTCTGTCTCT